CTAAGTTAAAACCAATTAAAGAAACTAGTCAGACGTTCCGTAGATGCTCGAGAAAAGGATGTTTCCCGAAAAGAGCATCTGTCAACCCAACGTCGCACTCCTCGTCACATTTTGTACATCGCATCGAAAACCAGCGTCTCGCGGGAAATAATTTCCCGCCAAGTGACAGTTGATTTTTCTTATTATATTTCATATGCTAATGCACGTGAAACAAATTGCGTGAACATCGCGCGACCGTAAATCTTGCGCGCGGGCGCGCGCGGTAAAAGGCACTTAAAGTTATATTTACACGTTGTACACACACACACACACTTAGGGCACGTGCACGTACGAAATTGCGACACGTGCGTTCTGCATTGCGGTAAGGGCACTTGCGGTCTACGATCGAATCGCGATGACACGGCGCGTCTAATCAAAGTCCGTACAAATTCCTCGGGATCTTGACACGGAGGCAAGAAACTCCGTGGCATCGCAGAAAACTATGTCGATACATTTTCGAATATCGTCGCGGCATCTCTCGCGTTTTACCGAGATAAAAAAAAACTCCCATTGCCATCCGCCCGAAAAACAGAAAGATTAAACGCTTTATTGGCTATTTTTGTAAATACTATCATCTTTTTTCTTTTTTTTGCTTTGCTTTATGCAAATATTATTCATGACAAATGTTTCGGGTGATCAAGCATATGAGTTTCCATTGATTGAAAAATAAATAGATATGCGTAAAAGTACGTTCCTTCATACGATATTGGAAATTTCGCGGAGTATCGAACAATTATTATTACGTCATTTTCATTCGCAGTCTTATAATTAATAACGATCGGGTGGTTTCTATTTTCAGGTGAACTTTTCTCGGAAATCGATTAAAGAACGCAATAAGAACGCAATTGTGGTCATATAAATGATCGCTCCATTAATACGGTGTAACCGATTGATTTAATCGTCGGAGAGCACACATTTTTCGAACGATACGATCTCGTCGGCGATGCGAATTGCAGATTCCCGTAATCTCTTAAAAGCGATCGCCTCGCCGCCATTCATCTTGCCGCTGCTATTTCGAGAGAGCTTGCGAGACATCGACCACACGCGACAAGTTCGACGACTTTTCTCTCTCTTCCCTCCTGCACCCTCCTTGTCCTCCTTCAGACTTGGCCGGATGACGAGCGTTTTGCGCGTTGCATAACATATCGCATAAATCTGCATCCGTAATTGCTTGGATTATGCATACGCTGACCCCATAATGGTGGAGAAAAAATCCCC